AATAATTGTGATTCTTTTCCCAATGCCCTATATTTCCTAATATACAAAAAACAAAACAACAACAACAAAAAAAATGCTGGTCCAAGCAGTTATTCTGCTCAATGTGTTGAATCTTGTCTATATAGCCAGAAGGCCACTTGCCCCACTTAGCTATACTCATTGCATAACTCTGGCTGATAGCTGTTTAATTTAAATATTATGGAACTACAAAAGAAGTCCATATTATTTTCAAAGCCTTATATTTCCATTGAGCACAGTATCTCAGAAGAGACTTTCAAATGTTGAAACTTTGCTTCACCAAACCTGCAGATTTCATTTTATGCTTGTCTTTAATTATTTTTAAAGTTATATGATTAGTTATTTGTAATTTAATTTGTTTGGGTGGTTCTTTGTTAGTTTCATCTTTTTTGTTGTTGTTGTTGTTGGTAGTAGGAGTCCTAAGGATTGATCCAGAACTTGTCTATAATAGGCAAATGCTTTTCCACTGGGCTACTTCCCTACTCTTTCATTTTGGAGTCATTTTATTTCCTTATTAAGTATTTGAAAATAATGCACAAGAAGGTAGAGATTATAAATGGACTAATAATCTAAAACATGTCAAATATATTTTTAAAGATTATTTTGAGGTAAATCAATAGAAATGTATTAACTTTGACTCTAAGAAACTTGACCAAAATGAATGTCTTTCCTCATCTATGGCTCTCTAACTGTTCCAGGATATAAGGTCAACATAAATTTAGAAACAAGAAAAGTTCTCATAACTTCAGAACTGGGAGAAAGGGTATTTCTGAAAAGAATTATTCAAAAAATGTATTGTATTGGCTTATCATTAACTTGAAGACTTTCTAAGTAGTGAGCATGTATTTTTATTACTTCTCCCCTGGAAGCATTTTACTACAATTACATTTTTTTTACAATAATCTTTCAGAATAAGGTAGGAATGGAGCAAGTTTAGCAAAGAGTGACTAGCTATCTCTCTGGATCTTATACAACCGTTATATGTCAATCAAAGCCGTTACCATGTGTACCATCTCCAAACGCAGAGTCTCTCCTTAATAAGAGCAAGGGATTCTCTTCACTTGACTCTAACAGGTATGATCAAAGGAAAGCCATGAGCTTGGAAAGAAGGGAAGCAGATTTGAATTTAAACTCCCAGAAGTGTAGGTACCAGAGATGAACAAGTGGCACTACAGCATAACATGTAAAGATGGGACCAGGGATGCCCCGGATCGACCATGAGTCCAACTCACCCTGGGTGCAGCAAATTATGTTTAGATGGACGCTGAACTATAAACATTGTAAGGAATGACCCATTCTACTTGGAGAGAGTTAAACCACATTTGAGTTTTCAAATAGTCCTTACTATTCTGCTTTTAAGTAGTTCAAGAAGTCATACTTTTGCATGAAGAAGGAACCGATATTCATGGCTAACACGAGAATCTTTCTAACCAGTAGCCAGTAAATGATTACTCTGTATATTTAATGGAGATGGCAGAAACTAAACTAAAATACATATATCTTCATATGGAAAATGAGGAATTTTGATGATCCACATCATAGAACCTCTTGAGAACTAAATTAAGCGGTTTCTACTAGAGGCAAAGGGACCACACTAATTCCTTAAGCAGGTATGTGCCAGACAATTAAAATGCTGTATTTTTTTTAAGCTATTAAATTTCTGGCCTTAGGGTTTGATACAACTCCTGTTTTCACACCACACGCTTTGCCTACGTTATAAAACCAGTCAACTTTGGTGGGACATGAACCATTTGACACTCTGCCAGCGTAAATAAGAACTCAGATGTAAAATTTAAAGTGAGCAAAGTCACAGTTCTGCTGTACTGCAGATCGGTGGCACACTCCTCTAAGCTAAGCGTCCGGGCTGTGCTCTGCTCACCTGCCTTTAATAAGTCAAAGGGGAACTAAAGATATTACATGCTACATAAATTTCAGAGTTTGTGGAACACAAGTCATTTTCATAATCTTTTAAAAATATCATCACCCAGAACTCTTATGCAATGATTTTTAGGCATGCTTTTGTAGTTATCAAACTATTTTAAGTCATATTTAAAGGTAGTTTAAATGTATGCTCCCAGATCACTTGAAACCAAAGTTATTTACAAATTATTTTGGAGGTGGTGTATACAGCACCCTTTATGCATCACAGATGACAAGGTATTAGTGATAAGACCCGTAACTAGAGATAAACCAAGAGCAGAAATTGAGTAAATATATTTTACAGACTTAAAAAAAAAATAAGCCTGGCATGCCTTTAATTCCAGCATTTTGGAGGTGGAGGCAGGCGGATCTCTGTGAGTCCAACCAGGGCCATTCAGGGCTACAATAGTCTTTAAAAATTCCAGAAAATCCAGTCACTTTTCAACCCTAGGAGGTTATCTTTCTTATTTAATAGTCTTTAAAGAACTGTAAGAAGCTCCCTTTGAAGTAGCTCACTATAAAAAGGAGTTTTCTCCAAACATTCCTAACACAAGCCCACTGGGGAACACCGTCAGACAGTGCACGTCTTGACAACTGAAGAAGCTTGCGTCACTAACCCTTGGGCCTCCGTATAACACGGTGTGGGTGATAAACATGGCAGGTGCCTATTTTAATTTGTGGTTTCTCAAAAAAAAAAAAAAGAAGAAGAAGAATTTTTAGCTTGCATTATCATTTTTGAAACGGTAGCCCAATAACAGTAGCAATCTATGGCACTCCTCTTGTAAGTCCGGATCCCAGGGGGCCTCCACTGAGCTTCTGAGTCAGATCTACGAATCACCAAGTCGCAGGAATTTTAGATCATCAACTATCTTGTAGATGGTATTGCTGCACTGTTTTTAAGTTTTGTTTGGTTGGTTAGTTTTGGGTTTGTTTTATGACACACTTTTCTCTATAGCCCGGGCTATCTGTGAATTCACTGACAGACCTACAGACCATGGTGAACATCTTGCCACAGCCCCACAAGGGCCAACATGACAGTTGCGGGCCACCGCACCTTACTTCTGCACTGACCCTAACTTGAGGAGAAAGGCTAATCGAACTCTCAGAGCTAAGCTTTATCACAGTCCTTGCCTAAGTACCCACACCCACCCTGCTCTTAGCAGATGAGAACTTATCTTCTCTCTCTCTCTCTTCAGTTATGGAAAGTACACATCAACCCTTAAAAATTGACTACTCATCACTTCAACCCAAACTCATGGAGCTTATGTAAGGCACATCCTGAAAAAAATGCAAAGCGCAGAATTTTGTTGGGTTTGGGTGGGGAGTTCTACAGCTTTCACGAAACAATTCCCTTCCTTAAAACTCTTCAGTAGGGAACTAACTGCTGATCATTAAAGGGGAGGAGACAGCTGACAGATATCAAGCTGAGCTTATTTCTTAATTATGTAGAAAGTTAATTCCATTATTGTTACTTGAGAAGAACAATGGGAGTTTTAAAATAAGTTAAGTGAGAAGGGTATCTATTAAAAGCAATTCACTTATTTTTCTGTGGCTAATAGTGCTTTATGTTCCAGGAAGGCAGCCAACAAATACAGTCTAAATGTATTCATTTTATTATGTTGATGCAATTCATATACTATTCAATATTCTGCTTCTACATCTCTCTGTTTGGCTGATGTGAGGTATGTGTAATTTATAGTCATTACACTAAGGGTAAAGAAATTATTCTGGCTGCTCACGTGACTGTAGGGTATGGATTTAGCAGAAGCAGTATTTCCTTCGCTAACATTTTGAAACAAACAAAAATTTTAAGAGACCCACAAGACCTTTTGACCCATTTAACAGAGTTGTCGTTGAAATGATTCTTCAGTTTTTCAAATTATTGCCACATTCACTTAAGGCTGGGCAGAAAAACTCCAGAGATTTTGCGAAGTTTAGTTATTTGAAACCTGTCCTTCTGGGGGCGGGAGGGGGGGTGGCTATTTGACAGCCCTGTGATCCTTTCAAGTAGAGGCATTTATTTGCTTCTCTCTCTCTCTCTCTCTCTCTCTCTCTCTCTCCCTCTCTCTCTCTCCGCATCTGCTGTTCTAGTCTCCACGAAGTTGCTCCATCCTCAGATCACCAATGCCCCCTCTTCCTCTTTCTGCCCAGGTCTTCAGCATAAAAGATCTGCAGTGGTTTTTTGGTGCTGTCTTGGCTCTCCTCACCCCTGGCTCTCCTCTAGCTGGTGCCATCTAGGATAGTGAGCTGCAGAGTAAAGAACCTAGGAGGTCCCTCCCTGGTGAGCCTGGAGACCTGGTCCCTGACACCCCCACCCCACCCCCAGCACCTGGCCAGCTCCCTGGCAACCTGCGGACATTTGGCTGGTGCCCGCTTTCTGGCCCAGGGTCGCATTTTTTCCTCTTGTTCCCGCTCTTTTTCCCTCCACTATGTTTTGGTCATCGATTATTCGGAGGTGAGAGGAAACAACTCAAGATAGTCTCCTGCTCAGAAAATGGGAGTGTTTTTCTAAAACCCTTCTGTGCTCCTTTCCACCCTTGAGAACAGGTAGGGTCTGTGCGAAGAGATCCAGTTTCAGCCACAGACCTAAGTCAGGTTCCCAGTGGACCAGGTTCCCTCTGGTTTAACATAATCCTTCTCCCTCTGAACACCTCCTCTACCTCTTCAGGTGCTACTACTGGCCATATGTAAAAGAAAAAAAAATTCAACATGCAAGACAGTGTGAATTCCGGGAGCGGGTGTGTGTGTGTGTGTCTGTGTGTGAAAATAGTCTGAGGATGTACATTTGGACTGCCTATCTCACCCTCTCTGAGCCGTCATACGGCTACTAGAAGCAGGAGAGTCTAATGGCTCCAATCGTCCTGCTAGGTTGAGCTTGGGCCCTCTGGAGCTCACCTGTCTGTGTCCAGGTAACTGGCCAGTGCCCAACTGGCCGTGTTCCACAACACCTAGCCACAGGGCTCCCTCTCCCGCGCATTCGCTTTGCACTGTCTGATTTTATTTCTGCACCAACACCACCATCCCCAAAGAGAGCGGGACCATTCTCCGCCAGGGCTCCTTACCTCAAACAGAGGACCGATCTTGTTTTTCTCCAGGTAAGCCTGGATTCGGGTTTGTTGACGAGACGCCATGGAGAAACAGATGGGTCAGCGGAGAGAAGACAGTGCGCCTTGGCTGGGCACAGCCTTCCTCTGTCCTCAGGTAGACCCGGGACGGGAGCTCCTCGGCTGGGGACAGCCCTCCTCGGTCCGCAGATAGACCCGGGACAGGAGCTCGGGAGCCTGGGCTCCCTGGCACAGCGGTGGGTGGGCAGCAATCCGATGAGCAGCGAGCCCGAAAGGAGCAGGGAGCAGGGAACCCAGGGGGAGGCTCTGCCAACTCAGACAACTCCGAGGCGAGGGGAGAACTCCATCGCGCCCGCCCTGCAGCTCGCGCCCACCCGCTCCCCTCTCCGCAGCGCCGCCGCGGGGAAATCGCTGGCAGCAGAGGCTCGTCTGTCCTCTGGGCGGCAGCAGAAGGAGCCGGTGGTGGCCGGAGGCGAGTGTCTGTGCTGCGCCTCCGGGAGCGGATCCGGGGGAACAGAGGCGGCCGGAGGGGCGAGAGCGCGCGGAGCCGCCCAAAGCGCGCCACGGTGTGCGCCCAGCTCCCGGCTGCCGGGAACCAGTACCCAGGCTGCTCCCCGAGGCGGTGCTCGCTCCCTAGCGACAGCGCCGCTCAAAAAGCCAATGGTAAAGGTGCTTCTTTCAAAGTGCACATAAATCTGGTGCTTGTTGGCTACTCCTTGGCAGCTACAACCGCAGTTCCGAAGAGGATGGTCCTCACCCCCGAGGGGGAGCCTCTCCTGGGCACGTGCTCTGCCTTCACCAGCCGGTGATAAGAGAAAGCCAGAGGTGAAAACTAGTGGGTGGGTTTGGCCGCGGAAACAAAGTTGCTTATCTTAAAAAAGAAAATGTAAAACGAAAAGCTAGAAGAAACAGATACCTGTCTTGGCCTTGAACAAGGCAACTGACGCTGCAGCCTGAGAACTGATTGAAAATTCCAGAAGTGCAGAAAACCACAGGCTGGGAGCAACCCTTGGGCGTTTGGCAGGGAGGTGAAACAAAAGCGGGCCAGCCCTCTGCTTCCAAGTTTGGGTTTCTTCCTACCGCCTTCAGTTCTGCTAGGGCTCAGGGGCTCTGTGCTTCCACCTGGCCGCGCCTCCTCTAGCTACCTCCTGAGCACTTCAGTTTTACCTGATACCACATGTTATGCAGGGATTTTCAAGTTGAAGATCTACAGATATCACAGGGTTCTTTGTGGAGTTCTTTGCAATTTTTTAAAGACAGGGTGTGAAACATTAAAGCCTCAAAGACAATGTGCCTCGTTCTAAACCATTGTGTTTTGCCAAATCAAAACATTTATACTAAAACTCCTGATTGTCTCTACAATAACACACACCCGTTTCCGTACTGCGACAGTATAGATTTCTTCTTTTTCCCTGCCTTGTTCCAGATGTCTGTGGCTTGTGTCTTTACTGCTGCCCAAGCCTTTTCTCTCTGTTTTAAATTATCCTGGCAATGTGCTATAGTTAAGATGAGGATGCTTTATTCCAGGAGGTATTCTAGCAATTGCTTTTAATCATTTACATCCGATAAATTTACCAGAGGAGCTAGGATATTAGCCACCACTGATAACCTGAGCCAGACCTGATTTGGGGTGGAAAGATGTCCGAGCTCTCACTTTTGCAGTCAGCCTCACTTGACCTGACGGGTGCAGACAGGAGTAAAAAGCGGTGAGGTCCAGGGTTGTCACATGTTTTACGTTTCATATTTCTGCTATAGTTCAAAACTTACTTACTTACTACTTTTTAGTATGATTGGGAGCTATTGAATATACAAAATGAATACCAATATTTCTATGAAATATGTTGTAGAGGAAGGCCTGTGTGTCACCTAAAGGTCCAAGTATTTTTTTAAAGACTTATTTTATTTATTCATTATGCATACTGTGTTCTGCATGCATTATGCCTTAGCTCCAGAAGTAGACAGACACCAGATCTCATTACAGACGAGCCACCATGTGGTTGCTGGGAATTTGACTCAGGACCTCTGGAAAAGCATCCAGAGCTCTTAACCTCCAGCCCAGGTCCAAGTATTTTAAATTCCGCATTGTACTGCAAGATGAGGACAGGGCCTTCCCCAAAGTACATTTTCTACCTCTAAGAGATATGAGGAAGATCTTTCTTTAAAGCTAGTAATTGATAGTCACCAACCCCAGGGTTCCGCATCAAGAGTCTTGGCCAGAAAAAGACAAAGCATCCCACACTTACATAACTAAGACATTTCCAAAGCTACTCTGCTCCTATAGCAAATGGTGACACCACCCCAAAAGATGGCTCTTTCCATTTCTCACAAACTATGACGTCATTGCTACTGGACGCATTTTTTTGTACAGCTTCTCCACAGCATACATTAAGACTGAAACTTCAAAGGCAAAAGGCCCTACCCTTGTCCTACGCGTTTTAGTCATGTTGAACTGTTGGCAGCTACACAGATGATGGTAAAGAGACATGCTATGACTATGATTTTTTTTGAGGGACGCTGTGGGGAATGTTATGTCTGGTGTCCTCGGTGAGCGTTTGATGAAGGAGATGGTAACCGTACAAAGTGCTGGGAGAGCAAAACTGTGTTTTCCTGGCTGAGACTGGGAGAGTGAGGTTTGCGGAGGAAATTTCAAGCTTCAACATTAAAAACTAGCGTGTAAAAGTGCACAGGCGTGCAGCAGCTAGTGGTCGTAGAAGCACAGGGTGAACGCAGTAGGATCACAGGAAGTAAAAACGTAATCAGGGGTCAGCTCACCGGAGTCTTAGAGGTCTTGCTCAGGGATGACATGTCTTGTGGGAAGTGCCTATTTGGATTTTGCATCCTATAAAAAAAATAGGACAGCTCAGGTTAGGACTAGGGTTTGGCATGGAAAAAAATGGAATTTTATGAAGACATGCATAAGAACAAATCTGTTGATTAAGTATATGTGGAACAAGATAGGAGGGACAATAAACAAATGGCAATGATGTCTGGAATCAAGTTAGATGGTAGTTGCTTGTTCAAGCCACCCACTATGAAATCTGTTGGTCTATGATTTACTTTAGACTCCTTAGATCTCAGATGGAGCCTGTTTATATCCTATAGCCTATAGTGTAGAAATTAGTCAAAAATTGGGCTTATAAATATTAGCATTCCCTGTGGAGAGTGTTCCATGCAAAGATGTGGCATTCCATAATGTTAACGAATGAGTTAATTTTTTAGTAGATTGGTTTAATCCATCAGTGCACTTTTAGGCTAAATTTTGTCTCTGAGTCATGGTATTTATACTCTGTTTTGTTTTGTTTTTTTTTTTTTTTTACTTCATTCATTGCATACGTGCTTTGCCCCCTAAAACTGCAAATTATTTAAAATCATGAATTGTGTTTTTAATAATTTTCTCACACAGACAACATGCAATATATTATATAGTCAAGTCTTCATAACTGTATCTTCAGAACCCTATGTCTGTGCATCTTAATAATTTTGATCACCTATTCCCTTTATGGATGATTAGAAGGTTGGAGAAACAGCTCAGCTATTAAGAGTGTTTGCTGCTTTTCTAAAGACAAGTGTCTGGTTCCTAGCATCAATGTCAGACTGTTCACAAACACCTGTAACTCTAGCCCCAGGGAGATCGGATACTTCTGGCAGATGCCCATGAACATAACTAAAAATAATACAAGTAAATATTTTTTAATTGATTGAAATTTAATCCTGGCTTCAGATTGAATTTTGCAAGTCTTTTCTGTCCACATCAACTTGGTACCTTTGTGATCCTTTCTCCATTTTGTGGTTTGTGTCTGGCATAAAAGGCCATTTTTTTAGTGAAGCTGTTTTGACCTCATTGTACTGTAGGAGTGCTGGTCAGCATAATTTACAAGTATACAGAATCCATTTGGTAGAAGGTGCTAAAGCCCCTGTCTAACTCCATTTATAAGACACCTTGCACAGCTCCTTAAGCAAATGATTTTCAATGAAAGGCAAAGGACAGTGGTGAAGCCCAATTGAGCCAGCTCAGAATTACTAGCAAAGAGACCTCTTGAAATTGATTCAACATGGAGACATCCAGGCAACAGAGACATTCTCTACTGGCTTCTGGACCTGAGACTTTTGAGTCCTGAAGCATATTCCTCTCTTTCCTTGATGACTTTTACCTTGTCACTTTACAATAAACAGCGATAAGTACCTTCCCAAAGACCACAGCACTTGTGAGCGACCTGCCCATTCAAGGGGAGTGAGCACCGAGTTGTCTTTATTTCTGCCTGAGTGGGCACAAACGCCACATCTACCATCTAAACACAGTCCCAGAACTTTCTTCGCTGAACCACGGCATTTAATCCTAGAGGTAATGTCAAGAAGTTGGTGTTTTCATCTTCCTCATATTTTCCAGGTGAAGAAAAGGAGACACTCAGCAAATAAATAGCTTACTCAAGGTTAAAAAACAAACAAACAAACAACAACAACAACAAAAAACTTAGCAAGTAAGAGAATGTGTGCTTGAACCTCTATGGCATTTGACACACTCAAAGCCCTGGCTACCAATCGAGTGCTTCTCTTTCCTTTGCTTTGAATTTGTTCCTACCAAGAGTCATTTTGATAATGAATTTCAATTCCTCAGTGTGTAGATATGAAAAAGGACACAGCTTGGATGGCAGAGACCAAGGTAATTGTCGGTCCCGTGCTAAATGAACACATGGCCTCTCATGATTTTCAAAACCAGCTAATCAATCACGGTCAAACTCACTGCTCTCAGTGCCTAGTGTCATAGTTTCACTGGTCACGTGGAATTCAGAACTTCGATGATTTTGTACTCTGACACAACCCTGCCTTCCATTATTATCCAGGGTAAATTCCATCTCTTTTGTTTTCACACTTAAATATTAGATTTTAATATTTAATTTTTAATATGTGGTTTGAGCTGCCATCTCCAGCTCAAATTCCTTAATTTATGGCAATAACTTTACAGCAGGATTATTTATTAAGTTATGACCCATTTAAGGAAGGTCTACAATATCAGACTATATAGCTATTTCTTATTTTTGTCAGCAAATTCTTAATCCTGGCAGGCTTTTGCTTATATTTTGCAATGGCATTGTTTTGAGTTTTCATTCTCGTGTGGGTCTTTGTTAGAAAATGGAAAGTGATGGGGAATGTTACATGATACTGAATATATTGAAAGGAAGGAAATAAAAACACAAGAATGTCTGAGCAAACAAATGATCATGTTTTAAGGAAACACAATTCCACTCTGTGCACACCCTGGGGATCCAGGCTCTGCCTAGGACAGGATTGCTCCACTGGAGCTATCAAGGACTAAGTTACATGAGACCCATTTCTCAAATACACATTT